CTATATTATCCGCATTTTACAACATTTCGCAACGAAACTTTGGAATATTACTAATTTTGTGATGCTCTTTCAAGCTGTGATGAAATTTTTGTCTAGATCAAAATTTAGTCTATAATGCAAATGGTCCATTCACAACTTCAAAAGACGTTAAATATACTGATTTAGAACTATTCAAAGATAACGAACAAAACTGACTTACTATTGCCAACCATGGCAAGAACAATCAAGGCTAAAAAGACCCATGGACTATTTAACCATTGCAGACAAGATGGATTACAACAGAGATAACCAAATTTTCCATTTCTATGTTTATCAACAGCTTGTCTTTGCTGCACAGTCATCGCTTCCACATTTTTCTCCATTTTGTTCAAACGTTACCCTGGTTGAAAAATAATATTATTAATTAAAACCCACTTCCAATTCCAACTAGTCACAGCGACGCCTACAAAGGAAAAATCAATTCGTCTACATACGCCGAAGAATCTCATATCATGTAGCAAGTCTGCCAACAAACCGTCAACAAGTTTTTCTCGCACTGTTTGTCCCAAGTTGTCAACAAGTATATATGGTTGCAAGGTTGTTCCAGCAAGTCCGATACAGTCGCGATATAACAATATTGTTACAACCTTGTGTCGTCAACCTTGTAACATTCTTGTTATATCACGACTGTATCAGACTTGTTAGAACAACCCTGTAACAAGTCTGATAATGCCAACAAGCTTGTTGTACACGGCTAAAAACGCACAGGTTGTTGCAAGTTGATATCGACAGGCGTGAACAATGTTGTGCGGCCAACTATGAACAAGTTGTCAACCATGTTGTTCCAAGTTGTTACAGTTGAACAATGCTGTAACAACATGTTGACAATACTGTTCATAGTGGGCCGCACAACCTTGTTCACGCCTGTCGATATCAACTTGCAACAAGTTGTTGATTTTCTCAATTTTTACGCGTGTACAAATTGTGAACAACTTGTTCCAAACTTGTCACAACAACCGGGAACAAGTATAGTGCGAATACAACTTGTCGAAAGCTTGTGAACAGATTTGTAACAACTTGTGCGTTTTTTTGTGTGTAGAAAACACTAAGGCTTTATCCGCAAAGCCGCCCGGTCGAATTTTGTCAGCCACTCCATGAAAAATTAAGATTTGCTCTATATGATATGGAGCAATCGTTTTCGCTTTCGCGTTTTCATGCCAAGGCAGAAACACCTGAAAGCGACACTGAACGATAGATGCAATTAGCCATTCCGAAGTTGATGAGAGGACAGGGGACGAGTGCCCAAATTAAGAAATGAACCAAATCACTAAAAAGACCACATCAAAATTAGTAAGTATACAAAGTTTGAAGACGTTCACTTGAATATCCTTCGAATAATAAGCTTTCGAAAATTGTGAAATTACTGATTAAAAGATTGTTTTTGGGACGCTTTTTGGGAAGCTTATTGTTCGAAGGGTATTCATGCAAACGTCTTCAAACTTTGTATACTTACTAATTTTGAGGTGGTCTTTTTAGTGATTTTGTTCATTTCTTAATTTGGGCACTTTTTAACACTCGTCCCCAGTCCACTCAGCAACTTCGGAATGGCTAATTGCAGAACCTCAAAGGAATGCCCCTTTCCCTTTATAGCCTCAAAGGAATGGCCAATGAAAATGAGACGGAACTGTCCCAATATGTTTGGAAATTAAAACAAAGCGAGAAGAATTACGATATAAAGCGGTCAATTAAGTAGTAATATACTCTGAAACTGAATATGAAGACGCTCTTATAGCATTGCTTAGTGTAAGTGCCTTGTCCTTGACGACAGACGCCAAGAAAGTTGTGTAAAAACCTTTATAAAAAGATTCAAGACCCTGATTTTTAATCTTGTCTTAATCATCTTCTACCTCCGCTTCGCGCACAGATGCGGGATTGGATATTAAGAATCAAACAATTTCGACTTTTGTTTACCGAAAGGTACAGAGCGTTATAAAAACAGTTTTGTCCCTAAACTGTGTAAAAGCGTTTTAATAGTGCTTTAAAACATTCTATATACAGAATTTTACGTACACTTTTTTAACATATTTATAGAATGTAATTTATAATGTGTAGACTATAGTTATTCCTATTTTCGATATGTGTAATTTGTATTCCCCAATTTGTAAACATATTGCAATTCACCTTTTGGTGCGAAAATATGACAATATATATAAACCATAAAAAAGGTCGCGAGCGGTCCGACTTTGAGATCAGTGAACGGTCCCGCCACTTCAGGTTATCGACCGCTCAGGAACCAATCATAATGCTGCATTTTGCTAAAATAATATGACACATAAAATGCTGTCAGAGTGATACTTGACATTTGCCGCCATTTAATGGCTATTTCGGCGAACTAAAGTGAAACTAGATTAAAAACAGTTTCGACTTATATATAGAGGATATTACTCGGCGGCGCGAAGATATGACTTCTATCTTCGAGTAGTGAAAACAATATTTTACGAACGAGCGCAGCGAGTGAGTAAAATATGTCACGTGATCGATATCTTCACTAGTGAAGATATGGAAAATATCTCACTGTGTATTTTTCAGTATCTCACTCTCTACTATATAATTGAGCCGAAAGTGGTTATTTTTACCGCGCGTAATACAAATTAAATACATACAAAATTTGCGAACTTCACAAGGCTATATATTCTTTATTATAGGCTACAACATTTAGCAACCAATCTTTGCAGTTTTACTCATTCTAAGACGCACTTTCTAGCTGTGTTGTTGGATTTTATTCTTCTTGCTTTGATCAAAATTTAGTCTATAGCCGTATATATAGCTGGAATCACCCATTTATATTAAACCGATTCTGATCTTTTTCGAAGAACCTTGTGTTCTTATTCGCCTATTTTGGTGTCATCTCACTCGATTGAATAATAGTAAAAGGGTATTGTAAATGGAAAGTGTCGAGTGGAAATTTATATACATTTATTACCATAGACATCTTATACATGCATGCACACTAGATAGTGCATCTGATTATTCTGCAATTCCAAAATTGAAGGCGTGATTGCAGACTCAGGATATTCCCTTGAAATGAGAAGATTCGTATGTTTTCTATTTCTTAAACAGGGAATTTAAACATTAAAAGTTAAACCTATTCCAAATACATTTTTAAACTATTCAAATGATGAAAGTTGTTGTTTTTTAAGCGTTTATTAGCGAGTGGGAACTACCAACATGGCCGCCATCTATTCAAATGGGGGTAACCGCTGGAATATTCTTGGCTTCAATTTTACTAAAAGAGATGCGCTATCTAGTGTATATAGCTATTTCAATCAAGGTTAACGTTGTTCACGAGCAAAGCAGAAAAGTCGAATACGAGCGCGAAAGGCTCCTGGGAATCGCTAACAAATTAATGAATTTTCAAAGCGATACCCAGCAGCCTTTCGCGCTCGTATTCGACTTTTCCGCTTTGCTCGTGGACAACCTTAACTGAAATAGCTGTATAAGATATCTATGTTTATTACACCTGATCGAATCGATCCTGGGGCCCTGCGATTCCGGTGCAGCGCTCTAACCAACTGAGCTACAGAGGCCAATTGTCGAGCTCTAACCACAAGTTCAGCATGTATATATACATGCATGATATGTATTTATACATATTGTGAAATATACTATATTTAAGTGTAATTGTTTTTAAAACGATTTACTCTTATCTGCCTCTTAATAATATATGAAAAATATATAATTATTTTTAAGAATAGATCTTAAAAGGCTAAGAATAGATCAATTTCACAATAACACTTAATAGAAGGAATGTTTTAATGAGCCTCATAACTGAAGACACAGCCAGTGTCCTCTGTGGTGAGGGATTAATAACACTGCCATTGTTTCAAAAGTGAATCCAAAAATTCGAAAAATTCATTTGTAACTTCGTATCCCAAAATTCCTATATTTAGGAATACTATAGTATAGAGTTAGAATTGGCGATTAGAAAAAGACTAGGGGTACCAAAAGATCCGCTACTTGCAAGAGTGCGCCTGTCACGCCATATTCTGCTCTTGTGAATGGCTGCACATTTTGGGATCAAAGAAGCATTATATATTCAAGTTATTCATATAGGCATAGCCATATAGGCTGATGGAAATAAATACGGGAATTGGGAGTTTTATTATTTAGATTATAGAATCGAATACGTGTACAAGATTCATAATTTGAGATCTTGGCCGCCTGGCTTGTGGGCGCAAAGAGGGTTTGGAAATTTCTTTGGGATCAAAGACAAAGTGAGATGCAAGTTGTTAAGAGGCAATTATGAGATATAATTAGGCCGAGAATAGAGAGAACGATATTAACACACAAGACCTTGCACGTGATTTAAACTACAACCAAACTTACATCCCATATTCTCCCATAGTCAACATTTTTAAAAGCGTCCATCAGCATTAACCCCTTCCCTCCAAGCGTACGTTTTCTACGCTTGTGAAAATATTGATAGCTTATTATATGGATGACACTTAGCAAGCTTCATTTTATAGACACATTGTTAGAGCTAAATCAAGGTGGAGAAAATAATTTTCTTCCTTGGAAAATAATTTTCTTCCTTCCGTCATACGAAAGAATTTCACCTTGGAATGTAACCCCCCCCCCCCTCGCCCATGCAAAGTCGACTATGCGACATATGCATGTACTGCATGCACATCAGTGTATTTATAAGTGAACTTTAAACATACACTTTTGTGCATAATTTTTTAACATATTTTCAACTTTAAACGATCGTAAAACGAGAATAGTTCATGTTTCAGAAATGTACATTAAACATACACTTTTGTACATAAATGTAATGTAAACCATAATTTTATATCCTACCTATCCTTACACTAATGTAAATTTTACATCCTTGTTCTAAATTCTTGTAGCTGTAAGAAGGTTTTTCCGATTAAACAATCCAACAATCCTATATGATTATACGACTCAGGGGCGTAGGAAGCACCTGGAGTTTGGGGGGGCACCGGCTTGTAGGGGCACATTACTATCGGAAAGGGCACCTAAAAAATTTTTCCCGGAAATGTTGTCGACGGGGGGGAGAGAAATTTCTCCTGAGGAAAATTTTCCGTCGTATCATACCGAAATTTATGTTTGTGACCTAATTTTTAAAAAAAATTTGTAAATTTCCACACAAAAACGGCACCTATTGTTTTAATTTAGTATTTACAGCGACATTAGCTTCTACAAAAGGGGCACTTTTCCTCACAAAAAAGGGCACTTTTCAACACAAAAAGGGCACTTTTTATCACAAAAAAGGGCACTTTTAGTCCTTTAAAAAAATTTGGGGGGGCACGTGCCCCCCGTGCCCCCCCGCTTCCTACGCCCCTGATACGACTCATCCACTACATTGCTACAAAGTTTCTTTCGAAATGTTGCATGACTGATTCAAGGGTACTTGACACAGAAATGACTGGCTATAATGAACTGTTTAGATTTTTGCAGGCAGAATTGCAGAAAAACTTGCATATGCCTGCAGTGAAGATCCTAAGCAGCACATAATTTTCACTGATCTATCATTTAACCTTTCCCAAGGGGCTGATGACTTTTCAGGGTGGGGGGCAAAAATCTCGGGGTAGGTGTAAAACGATCTCAGGGGAGGCACCTCTCCACAAAATCCAGCCATGGTTCTCGTGTTTTTATGGTTCAGCAAGCGTTATATATGGTGGTCATGGAACTTCAGAAATTCAGCATTTTTCTTTGCTTCCGTTAGCACATATAATCAATGTAATCCTAGCATATCTTGTATATAATTTGGATTTCTGTTTGGTTTACTCTGAAGATGTTGTATAGTTACGATCGACGAAACGTTACAGACAGATGAATAAAATATTTTTATAAAATGCCTTTGACAAGAATCATTATTGTACAATATAAGAAAATTAAACTCTTTGACTTTGTTGCTTTGAGTCTCTTTGACTTTGTTGCCTTGCATGTGACTTTTGAAAAGGACAATATTTTTGAATGGTAGTCCTGACGACTCTATTCAAAGACCTTACACAGAAATCGTGTCAAGTGTAAACTATAAATATAGAAATGTACTATTCCCGGCAGAAAGCCGTTGGGAATGTTTTCAAATCGATATGCGAATTTCAACAAACCTAAGGTGTGGACATTATATATTCTTGTCCTATAGGGGGAAGGCGGGGGGTGGATAAAAAAAAAGATCACACAATTACAAAGATTGGATTGTGAAAAAATCAGTCGAAAGAAAAAAGTTCCTTCAATTATAATGGATTGTACAGAAAATTCTTAAAACAATTCTTGTACAGCTTCACACCGAAAAAACGTTCGACATGAAAGCTTAGAACTTCAAAAAAATTATTGCAAGAGAAACTCCCCTCCCCGAAAATCGGCTAGTGACCCACCACTAATAAAACTTCTTTCAATTATTGCTGGAAACGCTAGTCAACCAAAACAACTTCGTGCGACAAAAATTTGGAGTTCGGTTAAAGCGACTCTTTCCTTTGTCGCGGCATCGTTTATCATTTCACCAAATGGGATTTTAATTTCAACAAGAGGAAAGTCGCTATACGCGAACAAATTTGGGAAATGAAAAACAATGACGGGCTTTGCCTTTAGAGACGTGATTTTGAATGTTATATAAATTCAAGTCGGAGCCAAAAAGCCTTGACAACAAAAACGATTCGCTCGATGATCTTTATTGACGCGGCGAGACACTGGTGACATTTTTATTGCCCCTTTCGGAAAACATTTCAAAAGCCCATTGAACACACACGAATTCTTGAATTAATGAATTAATGCGCCCGTGTCTATGTTTTGATCGCAAACTGCGAAAAAGCATTCCGGTATAAAATACAAAATGCATGCAAGAGAGAAATTCTTGATATAAAAATAATCTTCGTTACCAGTTGTTGACGAAATACGAGCGAAATACGGGAGCGAAACTGAGGTTATAAACGACCCTTGATACATGTGCAGTCGCAAAATTTATGTGAGCCGAAGTCATTTAGATTGCATATATGCGCATCGTCATATACAGTGTAAAACTCCGATAGTCACGTATTTCGTAAGTCAGAAATTTCGTGTTACACCGGGACCATAAAACTTCGAAGTGTTTTCAACATTTTGAAGCTCATGAATATACAAGCACCCACGACAAACGGTTGATCACTATCTATCTTCTTTCTCTGTGAAGGGGATACAACACTCTGAACGATATTAAGCAGAATTTTGATCGGTTTGATGTTTCGAGCGAAGGCTAACTTCGAACCCGGCAAGGGTTACCAACGAAGGGCCTTCGCCCGAAACGTCGTAGTTTTGCCATATATCATTTCAGGTGTCGTGATCTCCTTTACAACACAGCTGTCTCATATCGTCACTATATACCGAAACAGGCATCGACCATTCTAGCTACTTTTTCTCTTATGCCTTATTATATATAGCATAGGGCATACATGCACGTTGCTCTTGGAATTCCGCCTGTTGAGGAGTAAAGATTAAAACCTTCAACTCTATCTGAACATTGCCTGACCTACACTTTTCATGTTTTTTTTTATATATATGCATGCATATACTCAAGTTATAAATAAATCCTCATATACTGACCATGACACCGTTATAGACGTTATACTGAACATGAAATCGTTTGTATTACTGTGGGAATGACTAGACAATTGTATATTTCAGGAATCGAACCATTTCATGAATATTGCCTGAATTATATAATATATATACATAATATTCCTACCTACGAAAACCTTTTACTATCATTACGTACTGTTTAGACAAGCGATTTAATTCTGGAATTAATATTATCCTTCGAGCCAATGCCCATGAGCTTGTTTTCTTTCGTGGTCACTTAGCTGACAATTTTACAAAAAATGATCATGAACAGAAATTTTGTCTTGATATGATTAGAATCTAAATAATATTACAAGAATGGACTGACCTTATAGTTTTAGTGAAGAGACTGCTTGTCACAAGAGCTTGATCACTGCGCGTCTTCGACCACCAGCAAGTAGAGGGCAAGGGGCGGTATTTTTCGTGTCCAAACGGGCAAATAACGAGCATTCCACGGACGCAACGATGAGAACGCCTACAATGGAAAAATCAGTTCATTTGCATGACAAGTATATGGTTGGGAAATGAATAGAAATGACGCAAGAGGATTAGCCCAGATTGCTAAATTAAACTACTCAAACATGACTGCCTACATCTTCTGGATAAGAATCGACAATACTAATAAATCCAATATACCTCCAATTAATGGTAAATGTTGGTTATAATTGGAGTTCGGCAAGCCCAGGTTGTTGCCGCTGGCTAGAAACAGCAGGGTTTCCCCGGTCGTGCATGTATAGACTTCAGAAAGAGATCTTATGAACACCACAGCTCTGTAGGATGCTGCATTCTTTTCCCTCTATACCCAGCAACACTTGACAACAGCAGAAAGGGGATTCATTATCATACACAGTCAGTAAACAAGACCGAGATCAGAAATTTATGAGCGGTATTTTGGTGGGCAGCAAAAGGTAGTCAGGTTTCAGAAACAGCCCCCCCCCCCTAGCTTCTCCCACCCTCGCCCTCCACCCTAAATAGCGCCTGCTACGCAGGCTAGAAACAGGCCGGCTCTTTTAAGACTTCGTCAATGCCAGTCCTCGTGTTTGCCGTGTACACACAAAGGCGTTGTCAGGGGGCGGGGGGCTAGACCAGTGGTCTAAAATGCATGAAATAGCGTTTCACAGACCCTAAAAATAGGAAAGAAGGCGTTAGAAATCAGTAAAAAGTGACATTAAACTGTTCGAATGACAACAACTTTAATGAATTTCAAACAAGCAAGACATGATATCCGTTTTTAATACCAGGCAAATTAAAATCACAGAACTAATGCGGGAAGAATTCAAGACCTTAAAATTTTGTTCTCAAATTCAGGGAGTTTCGAGCATAGCGGCCCAATCTCAGAGTGAATAATCAGGAGTTGGGAGTTTTTAACGGCTTTTATAAACAAAATTTATACTCAACCAAAACTACTCTAAAAACATTCTTAAATTAGTCAAATAACTACACTTTAACAATAAAATATAGTTAACATGATAGTATAATGCCTTGGCTTTGCATTCTTTCACCATGAGCTCAGTTAGAGCGGTTTATGAAACCTTTTCTGTGTCCAATGTTCACTGTTGCTCGTCATAGGCTCATAGCATACAAATAAGTAAACTATGACGAGCAACACACTACATAGGCCACAGAAAAGGTTTCGTAGACCGCTCTAAATTAATGAGCTCATGGAGTAATTAAAAGAATGCAAAGGCATTATACTGCATTATACAGGGTGTCTCAAAAAAACCCAAAATCATTGAAATAACGTATTGTTCGAATTTCAATGCCGTAACACAAAGGATTTTGACAGGGTGATTAATTTGTTTTAAAAAATTAAAATATCTTTGTAAAGTGAACGTTTGTTTGCTCATGGGAATTTAAAAATGCTTCGTAAATTGTATATGCGTAATATGCATTCGTGGGTTTAGTACTTTATGCCTGACATAACAAGTTTACGCTGAGTATTACCATTCATTATAGCAGTTATGTCAATCTTTTATGCACTCGTGGGATTAACTTAGTGCTAGGGCATTGAATATCGAACAATACGTCAATTTCAATGATTTTGGGTTTTTTTGAGACACCCTGTACAGGGTGTCCCAAAAAAAACGAAAACTATTGAAATCACTTATTGTTAAATTTGAATGCCCTACCAAACAGCTGGACGTATGTATTAGAATTTAGTTAGGAATATCTTCTGGTAAAGTGCGCGATTTTCTGCTCCTGAAATTGACGTATTGTTCGATATTCAATGCCCTAGCACTAAGTTAATCCCACGAGTGCATAAAAGATTGACGTAACTGCTATAATGAATGGTAATACTCAGCGTAAACTTGTTATGTCAGGCATAAAGTACTAAACCCACGAATGCATATTACGCATATTACAATTTACGAAGCATTTTTAAATTCCCATAAGCAAACAAACGTTCACTTTACAAAGATATTTTAATTTTTTAAAACAAATTAATCACCCTGTCAAAATCCTTTGTGTTACGGCATTGAAATTCGAACAATACGTTATTTCAATGATTTTGGTTTTTTTTGAGACACCCTGTACAGGGTGTATCAAAAAAAGCGCAACCTCGGAATTTCCCAAGACATCGACATTGTTTTAAAGACAAAAGATTTTAGGCGTCTGGGAATTTAAAATAGCATAACTGTCAAAATTACTGCACACGCGAGTGCATAAAGCAAAATTTATGCATTTATTTAATGCACAACAACAGTAATATGATCTATTAGCAATTCGATTTCAATTCCCAGGGGCCTAAAATCTTTTATGCTTAAGAATTGCAAAGTGATTTCTTAGGAAATTCCGAGGTTGCGGTTTTTTTGATACACCCTGTATATAGGCATTATATTATCCTGTGTTTGAATAATTAGACCATATAGCCGGCTTAGATTTGTAATTGTTTTTAAAGTTTCATATCTTTAGTTACTTTTAACCTGAAGATGGAGTTATACTCCGAAACGTAGTTATTAAAATAATCTTTTTGTACTAAGCCTATATGGTCTAATTATTCAAACACAGAATTACTAAAATGCGACTTAGAGAAAGTTCCATCATACAACATTATATTATCATATTAACCATATCTTATTGTTAAAGTGTAGTTATTTGACTAATTTAAGAATGTTTTTAGAATACTTTTGGTTGAGTATAAAATTTATTTATAAAAGGCGTTAAAAACTCGCAACTCCTGATCATTCATTCTGAGATTGGGCCGCCTGTGCTTCACATCAAGTTCAATCTCGCCAGAGTATGCCTGTTCGCGGGTTATGTAAAAAAATAACCCGCGAACAGGCATAAACGACTGAAAAATACCCCAAAACAAATGGAAACATGAACACCGGAAATTGGCATTTAGCAAATTTGGCAGCTGCATAAAATCTAAAGTGATTAAAGTCGAGGATAAAGTTGACTTTTTGCAGTTTTCTACAAGTTTTTGTGCGCAAAATACATCACTTTTAAACCTTGCAAAGGAGATCAGGTAATATTGTACTTTTTGCACTTCTTATTTACCGGTAAATGTGTCGGTTTTTGCAAAAATGCATTCAGCATAAATCAGATAAATGTACAGTACATTGTCTGTTCGATAAATTTATACTAGCTGCTTCACAAGTTCACGTTGAAAATGTGCTGTTGCATTTGTGTTTTGTCGGCTGTTTTAATAAAAGATCAGTTTTATCTAGTATGAAATTATTGACAAAATTTTGCAGGCTATGAATCCCATTGTTTACATTTATTTACTATTTTGGGCAAATTCTGCGTTGAGGGGTTAATTATAGCTGGTAAACACATTAATAACTGATAAGCCACACTGCATCTTGATGCAGCCAACCTTGTTAGGTAAACATTATGTGATAGATATATCGATAGACACTTTATTTCCCGAGAGTAGCACTGAATAGCCAGAGCCTAATAAACTTGTGGCCCTCAATATAAGTTAATTATTTACAGTACACATTAAAAGTTAAACTTACTCAATCTCTTTCCCCGAGCCTGCGATCCTCGGGAAGGAACGCGAGACTCTGGGATAATCCATTTCAGGGAGGAATCTGATTGGCCGTTGATATGGAATGCGCAGTTCAGTTGGATTATCGCAGAGCCTCACATTCCTTCCCAATGATTGCAGGCTCGGGAACAAGATTGAAACTTACTATATATGTATATATACCAAATTATGAACGAACTATACATTGAAATGGTGTAAAGATTTCTGTTCCTTGAAAATCATTTTTACTTGTTTAGGAATAATATTGGCGTCCAATCTTGACAATACCTTAATTTTGTTCTAGCCATGTCATCGAAACGAAGACAATCAGAATATTTATTAGGTATAGATGTCCGTGAACAGCAGTGGCAGTCTGATAAAAGCTCGACATTTCTGGAATACTTGTGTACCCTAAATATTGATATTAACCCAGGTGCTATACGGCAAACAAGTATCATATGTACGATAGGTAAGTGCTTATACAACAGCCAAGTCAAGGATACAGGGGGGTGGGGAGGAGAAAGAAGCTGGGGGAGGAGGCAAGATAATTTTTAGCACTCAAAATCTAAAATACAATGCAGTTTTACAGGCGCATTTTGAAGTTCTGGATTTTGCTCTAAAAAAATATTGAGCCACCCTAGCACCTACCAAGAATATATTGATCCACTTGACCTGTGTTAGTCAGAGAAATCTCAAAAATAGTTATTGGATTTGATTAAAAAAATGTTAAAAATCGACACTCCCATGGCCAAGGCAGGGGGGCGGGGTGTAGCCCTAGTTATAGTAGGCTGGATCGATATACCGGATATATCCGATATACCGGTATTTGTTTAGATACCGGTTTGGCGATATTGGCAATTTAACAATACCGATATACTGACATTTCGGTATTTTGCTGTCTAATACCGAAATGAAATGCTATTTCAAGTTAAACTTGCTTACAATCACGTTTAGAAAGCAAAGTTAATACCCACAGATGCATGACATGCATGAAAACCTTTTCTGCCTTTTTTTTTTTATCGGGCAGTATAAGAAAGTAACTTTTTGTTGTTTTTAATCTTATTTAACTGACATGCTAATTTGTTTATGTGTTAGTTTTAAAAATGCAACGTTTTTTATGTTTATAACTATTGGCAGCTTACTGAAACACTATCTGAATTTATATACAAAACGAATATTTTTCTGAATGATTCAACACTTCGACGCCCTACTAATAATTGCCGCTTAGCGCTGTTAATTGTTAACATAGCTTGATAATGCGAATCTTGTGACATTTTGCACTAATAACAGTATGTGCCACATTAATATTTTGTCAAAACTTGATTTTTCTTGACGGTCAGCACTTCAGTTTGGCTTAAAAAAAAACACGTTAAAAATACCGGAATACCGATATTTACCGGTATTCTGATGGCGGTATATCGGTATTCGGTATTTGCGATATCGATCCAGCCTAAGTTATAGTCTAGTACTGATTGTACATGGTTAAAAATGTTTCAGGGCCAGCTAGCCGTGATGTGGATACATTGAAGCAACTTATCGACGCTGGCATGAATATTGCAAGAATGAATTTTTCCCATGGAACTCATGAGGTATGCCAGCCTTGTATATAAGTCAATAAAATATTCTGCTATTGACATCAAAAGTAGTTAGTTGGACCTTCAACCAAGCATACTGACATGAAAGTCTAACTTTCAAACATGGATATAGACTCTTACCAGTTAACTATTTTGTGTTCTTTCAGTACCATAAAGAAACCATTACGAATGTTCGCGAGGCTGCGAAGGACCAGTACCCACATCCAGTGGCCATAGCTCTTGATACCAAAGGGCCTGAAATAAGAACTGGCTTATTGAAATCTGTATGTACTTTTCAAAAATAGAAGCCAAAAAAAATCAAGATGAAATTGTATGGTGCATGTACCTACCCAGCTAACACATAACTTTATCATCTTTATGTCATTATTGAATGTACCAGTGATATAAAATCTAGGAAAATTGAGGCTGGGTTTTTTACTTTAAAATATTGTTTTGGTAGGATAGTGTATGTTTCCAAACTTTGAGTTTTGGCAGAAAGTGTCAATTTTTGTCATGAGTTGTGGGTTAATCAGTGATGTGTTAAAATGAAGTTGAATTCTTCCCTATGTGCCCTAGCTATTTTGTTATTTTATTCTGCCTAACACACCAGATGATTTTACTTGGGGAATTAGTGCTGGGCAACACTCTGGGTAGTAACATAAATTATACATATTAACATATCAAAGTGAGACAGAGTTACCAGACTAATAGTTGGAATAGTGACCACCTACTAGTGAAAAGTTTGGGGACCTGTTGTTTGAAAGCTAATAAGGTAACCCTAGGTTAACCTAAAAATCAAATTATAAATTTAGAAATATTTCTTTAAAAATTTTGTCTGGATCAGTTCGAGTTGTCTTCTCTGATGTTTCGGAATAAACAGACGTGCAGAAGTACATAAACTAAAACAGCAGGTTAAATTTTGACCCTGGGGTTAGCACTAATCCAGCATTGATTAACCAGCCCCTGGATGTATTTGTCTCTAAACTTGTTTATATAAATATTACAATTTACTGGCAGGGCCCAACAGGTGAAGTTGAACTAACAGAAGGACAGACGCTCAAACTTTCACTGAAGAAAGAACACTTTGAACAAGGCGACAAAAATATGGTGTATGTAGACTACGCCAATCTTGCCAAGACAGTGAAAAAATCTAGCAAAATCTTCATGGATGATGGACTGATTGCGCTACGTGTGACCGAAGTTGCAGAAGACCACGTGATGACGGTGGTTGAGAATAGTGGAAAGTTGGGTAGTAAGAAAGGTGTCAATCTTCCCGAAGCAATTGTTGATCTGCCTGCAGTCTCTGAAAAAGATAAAGCTGATATATTATTTGGAGTAGAACATGGGGTTGGTATTCATTTCTGCTGCATCCTAACCAAATAGCTCGCAGCATATGTCCTCCAATTATAACGTAAACTTCGAAGTTTTCTGTAATCGATCATATCAGATTTCCCATTTGAAACACATTACCTACTACCTAATTTCATACTTAGCCTAGACTATTTTATCTTGATAACAATTGTGATGATTACTTTTCTAACTGTGTTTATCCTAACCCACCCTGTCAACTTTCCCTGCGGGAGGAAACCGGAGCACCCGGGGAAAACCCACGACTTTCGGCAGAGCGTTGACTGACTCTTTTCACATGAGTCCATAGCGGGAATCAAACCCACGATCTCAGAGGTGAAAGGCGCTTACTCTTATGACTGCGCCACCGAAGCCCCTGTCCACCTGCACCCTGCTAGTATCTGTGACATCTACTGCATCTGTTAAACCAATTAAATGCTAAATGTGGGTATATTGCATGCTGAATCATGTGTTAACAGAGGGTCCTGAAGGGGTAAAATGGGAACTGGGATTGATCTATTTTTAGACTGGGAAAATGGGATTTGGGTTGCTGGGACTGGGATTTAGCCACTGGGAATGGGAAATGAAGTCCTCAAAAATGGGAATGGGATTGAGGAAATGCGAGTCGATTCCCAATTTTTCTACGTTTTAAGTATTTTAAAATACAATTTTGATCCGTTTTTGGTGTCTTTGGTCATGATTTTTGTTGTTAACTATACTATTCACAGCACTACCTGCGAACAGGCATACTCTGGCGCCCGGAATTCTGGGTTTTCTGATTATGCGTGTCTCAGAATGCTGCAAATGCCATTTCTGGGATTCAAATTTAAAAATTTTCCGTGCCTTCGGCACAAGCCCCCCGACATTTCATAAAGTGTCCGCCACGTGCACACACGGTGGCTTAAAACTGTTTATTCTACCAATAAATAAAGAGTTTTTTATTGACTGGCATTTCAATAACTCGGACTGGGATTTCTAATAAAAATCCAACTGGGACTGGGATTTTGCCAAAATTTCAGGTGGGAAATGGGATTGGGACCCCCCCCCCCCCTTCAGGACCCTCTTAACATGCTAACCACCCTCACCTGCAGCTACTCGCCTGTCGATATGCTACCATCTGCGTCCATTTGAATAACCATCTGCAGCATCTGATAACCAATGCCAATACTGGACCTACCACTCCTTTACGCCCTATCGCTTCATGATAGTGCATTACTGCTCGAGCTACCATTAATTCATTTCTACTCTCACCTAGATTGACATGATATTTGCCTCCTTCATCCGTAAAGCCAGCGACATACGTATGATCCGAGCAATAATGGGGCCTGGGGGAAAGAACATCAAGATTATTGCGAAAATCGAGAACCACGAAGGTGTGCGGAATTTTGACAACATTATTAAAGTCGCTGATGGTGTTATGGTGGCCAGAGGTGACCTTGGTATTGAAATACCTACGGAGAAAGTTTTTATTGCACAAAAAATGATGGTTGGAAAATGCGCACGCGATGGAATACCTGTTATTATCGCTACGCAGGTTTGTATCCTTCATTTTAACAACACTGAACTTCGGTACTTTAGTGTCAGGATAGAATTGAGCACTGGTGCCACATGTTGGAATCCGTGGTAACGCGGTTACCAGCAAATGACTTGAGCTACTGTAACTGCAAACCTGAGTCAGAAGCTCCTGCGCGCGCTGGTATATTAGAAACCTCCCGAGTGATATTTCCTATAGCCAAAATTGATCTTCATTTGCCCACGTCTGTCGTCGTACGTAACATAGTCTATCAGTTTATATCGTCTAAAATTTTCTGCTCACTACTAGATGTTGGAAAGCATGATTCAGAAGCCACGTCCAACACGTGCGGAAGGATCAGACGTTGCAAATGCAGTGTTAGATGGTGCTGATTGTGTCATGCTGTCTGGTGAAACTGCTAAAGGAAAATATCCAGTCAGAGCCGTTGAAGTAAGTAATACTTGATATACTTTTCATTATGATCTTTGTATGACATGTTGCTTTATGGGCGAGGATTGCATTGTCGGTAGGCCATTCATCTGGAGATCGAGAGGTTCGCTTCCTCGCCAACTCAGCGTGCGAGTAGCATGGTTTCAGGTAAACCTGGATTGTACGGTAATACAGGGAGCTGACGGCAGGTGTGCTGCTCCGCCATGGTTTGGTTCTGCTATCACTCTCCTTCCGTCTGAATCCCTTCTTCCTTCCTTAGTTACAACTTTCAACGTTCTCCCTCTGTAGGTCATGCACAAGTCTGTTGTCATGCACAAGTCTGTATTTTAGTCCCTTCGACTGTGGAGGTAACGTCGCCCATGACTCCTAACTTTTAGTCCCTTCGACTGTGGAGGTAACGTCGCCCATGGCTCCCTAACTTTTAGTCCCTTCGACTGTGGAGGTAACGTCGCCCATGGCTGTCTAACTTTTAGTCCCTTCGACTGTGGAGGTAACGTCACCCATGACTCCCTAACTTTTAGTCCCTTCGACTGTGGAGATAACGTCGCCCATGACTCCCTAACTTTTAGTCCCTTCGACTGTGGAGGTAACGTCGCCCATGGCTCCCTAACTTTTAGTCCCTTCGACTGTGGAGGTAACGTCGCCCATGGTTCCCTAACTTTTAGTCCCTTCGACTGTGGAGGTAACGTCGCCCATGGCCGTCTAACTTTTAGTCCCTTCGACTGTGGAGGTAACGTCGCCCATGACTCCCTAACTTTTAGTCCCTTCGACTGTGGAGATAACGTCGCCCATGACTCCCTAACTTTTAGTCCCTTCGACTGTGGAGGTAACGTCGCCCATGGCTCCCTAACTTTTAGTCCCTTCGGCTGTGGAGGTAACGTCGCCCATGGCTCCCTAACTTTTAGTCCCTTCGACTGTGGAGGTAACGTCGTCCATGACTCTTAACTTTTAGTCCCTTCGACTGTGGAGGTAACGTCGCCAATGACTCCCTAACTTTTAGTCCCTTCGACTGTGGAGGTAACGTCGCCCATGACGCTCTAACTTTTAGTCCCATCGACTGTGGAGGTAACGTCGCCCATGACTCCCTAACTTTTAGTCCCTTCGGCTGTGGAGGTAGCGTCGCCCATGACGCTCTAACTTTTAGTCCCATCGACTGTGGAGGTAACGTCGCCCATGACTCCCTAACTTTTAGTCCCTTCGGCTGTGGAGGTAACGTCGCCCATGGCTCCCTAACTTTTAGTCCCTTCGGCTGTGGAGGTAACGTCGCCCATGGCTCCCTAACTTTTACTCCCTTCGACTGTGGAGGTAACGTCGCCCATGACTCCCTAACTTTTACTCCCTTCCACTGTGGAGGTAACGTCGCCCATGACTCCCTAACTTTTCGTCCCTTCGACTGTGGAGGTAACGTCGCCCATGACTCCCTAACTTTTAGTCCCTTCGACTGTGGAGGTAACGTCGTCCATGACGCTCTAACTTTTAGCCCCTTCGACTGTGGAAGTAACGTCGTCCATGACGCTCTAACTTTTAGCCCCTTCGACTGTGGAGGTAACGTCGCCCATGACGCTCTAACTTTTAGTCCCATCGACTGTGGAGGTAACGTCGCCCATGACTCCCTAACTTTTACTCCCTTCGGCTGTGGAGGTAACGTCGCCCGTGGCGCCCTAACTTTTAGCCCCTTCGACTGTGGAGGTAACGTCCATGCATGGCGCTCTAACTTTTAGCCCCTTCGACTGTGGAGGTAGCATCGCCCATGGTGCTCTAACTTTTAGTCCCTTCGACTGTCGTCCATGCATGGCGCCCTAACGGTTCGCAAAACAGAGTTAGTCCCTTCGACTGTGGAGCTAGCATCACCCATGACAGGCATATCGTGGGACATTACAATCTTTGCGGTGTTTAACCTCGCCTCCGTTCACCAATACCCTCTCCTTACAGGTAATGCACAAGATCTGCTGTGAAGCAGAAGCTGCCATATATCACCGGCAGTTTTTCAACGACATCCGCCATTTGATTGAAAATCCATCAGTGACAGAAACGATCGCAATGGCTGCAGTAGATGCTTCCTTTAAACAGAGATGCTCTGCTATCATTTGTATGTCACACACGGGAACGTAAGTAGAACTTGGAATTTTGCTTTTGGTCTGGAGTGTCGACACGTTGGGTCGTGAATGTAATTTGTTCTACGATTGCATTCATCCAACCAACCAGGGGGACAAAACATTTCTGATGGTTGCTGTGAACTCAAAGTTGAATCCCATTTATTTTCAGAACTGGTCATCTGCTATCAAAGTACCGACCACGATGTCCTATAATCACAATCACTCGTGACGAACAGGCAGCTAAACAACTTCATTTATACCGAGGTTGTTTCCCACTGATCTACGATAAACATAATTCGGAAGATTGGTTTGCAGACTTAGAAGATAGAGTGGATTTTGCTATCAAGGCAGGCAAAGAGATGGGCTTCCTTAAAGTTGGTGCTTCGGTTGTTTTGGTTTCTGGCTGGAAGTTTGGACCAAAACATACAAATACCATTCGTATCATTGCAGTGGAGGAAGAAAAAACAACACTAAGATACTGAGTGTTTAATGTTAGGGATCTTCATGGTTCCATGCTAAGGTGTTGAAACCCTATAGCTAAAGGTTTATATGAAGTGATTAGAGTTTATCTACTTTAATAATTGACCGTTAATTCTTTATGGTTGCATTAATGAGTGAAGATATTTAGAACTAATGATTGTGCTTTTGTTAACCTCTTAGAGGTTTTAAATGACTGTTATTAAAGGGAAATAGCAATAAATATGAAGTTTCTCCCATTTGGAAGAGCGATTCAATATATTTCAAAACCTTTTTACAGATTTTCGTTATCGTTCTTGGTATAAAAGATATTACACTTCCTTTAAAAAAAATTATCATGCATTCCGCCATTTTGGATATGCGTTAAACACCATTTTGTATCTTGTCCAATCTCAGGCCATTTTAATGCTAAATCCTATTTTTTACTATTGTCTATTCTTTCCACTGATATTATTTTTTTAGTTTTAAAATGTCTACCCTTGGTTGCGACGTCGTTAAATTAGATGCGATTATAAAACAAGATGGCGAATGGCAGGATGTTTTGGTTTCAAAAATCTCAAAAATTAAGATAGTTTGGGAGAATTGGTAAAAAGGATTTTTGACTGATCTTAACATTCTTTCAAATTAGGCAAACATGATTTTTGTTGCCATTTTCCCTTTAAACTGTATTTTATAACGCCCCGTCCAAACGAGTTGTTGGGCCAACAATGCCGGACGATGTTTAATAATATTCGATGAAAATTTTAAACATAGTCAAAACCATAGTTAATGGAAGAGTTTTTATTTCGCTGGCCTCAGAGTGACAAAACGTAAAAAAGCAACGGTTTTACTAACACTAACCCTATTCCAAACACCACCCTTAATATAAGCCTAACCTAACCCAAGTTTGTTTCTAAACCAATCTTGAAGAAAAAAGTTTTGACGAAATGTCGTTCTGAGGTCAGCGAAATAACTTCTTCCTTAATTAATAGACAAAACTGATCCAACATCAGTCTCGTTTGCACGGGGCTTCATATGTGTTAAATCTTATTCAAGTATTAATGTAAGAAATATTTTATATATAACATTAAATGATATGCAGAGTGTCCCTATATGTTCCAGATTTTTACACAGCTAATTATAGTGGGCATCAAATATATTCACTCTAAGAAATGAGTTCTGATAAGATTTTTAAAATTGGTCTAGTAAAAGTAAGGGTTCATCAAACCAATACTAATACCTGTATACTTACCACAAATGATGTATCATTTCAATGCTCCATTGGGTGATTGATTGATTGATTGATAATCATAGTATTTATTCTGGAAAACCAACATCACAATTAGTTGTGTTTTTCAGAAGGTCCACGAGAAACTGTAGAAATACAAAAGATTATACAATAATAATATGCATGCATGCAGGTCATACGATATACAGTATATATATAAGAAAAGTTTTAAAATATAGAACTAAGATAATTATATATTACAATGAAGAGCTGGTTGCAAATTGCGCTCGATTATATTAATACTGCATGTGGAGATTTAAGAAGTGCATTATGAAAACAGCGATAAACAGTAACATGAAGTGCATTATTAGAAAATCCATCTCTTAGATTGAATTTTGATGTCCATGTACTAAAATAATAATTGTTTCTACCATTCAAATTCAAGTTAACACTTACGCCCGTATTCTAAAGCACACTCACACTCAATGAGTGGAAGTTCAATCTGAGCTCCTCTCGAGTGTCATTGCTGTTTTTGAATAGCTGGAGGGCTAGTGTCGTACCTTACTATGTGACTACTCGCCCTCCAGCTTTCAAAAACAGCACTGACACTCAAGAGAAGCTCAGATTGAACCTCCACTCATTGAGTGTAAGTGAGCTTTTAGAATACGGGCGTAAGTATACTTCTGAATTTAATAACAATAACATTTAAACATACCTCAAAAAGTTCCGTAGTATAGACTTCATCCCATAAAAAGGCAACATACAAATCTTATATAAACATTGCTTTTTATACGTTTCAATTCAAAGTATAATGTGGCAACTTTACAATTCTAATTCAAATAATGAAATTTACAAAACAAATATTAACTATACGACCTAGATATAAATTACGTAAATGGAATAAATATTACCATTTGGCCAGTCACACACCCATTTAAATTTGTAAAGACACTAAATACCATACATGCTTAGTTACCATACATGCATGGTCATAGCAGAATTGTTAAGGTTAGAAAGCCATGCACTAACCACAAATAGTAATATTATAGGTACAGTTAATGCTAGTCGGAATGGTCTCCACACCGAGTGGACCTCGTATAGCTGAGTTGGTAGTGTGTTGGACTAGCAAGCCGAAGGTCGCGGGTTCCATTCCCATTGCGGTGAAGCAATGGGAATTAGGAACATCAGCTACAATAAAACACCATATACTGTAGTTGAATATATTCACGACCATATCGAGTTTATCGACAACATTTTTACACAGCAAGAAAATTCAGGCTTTTAGCTGTCCAATGATATTTTTTTGTATCAGAGAAAATGGCCAAATACGAATCGAATAAAAATTGCCGGTGGAAATCGCATTTTACCACCGTAACGTTGGGAATTTGGTGAAAGACTATGGAAAGTAAATACCATTTGGATCTAAAATTCATGATACACTTTTCAAAAACTTAGCTGGAAACCTCTTGACTTAATTTTGAAAAAGCGAGATCTTTTTATGACATTTAAAGCGATTAATGGGATGCTTCCAGAATACGTAACACAACTCTGTATTTCACACTTGTGAAAACAGTGGTTACGTACTGCGCAGTAGTAATTTAAAGCTGTCTCAACCTAAACCAAAAACGAATTTCTTGAAAAATAGCTTTTCGTACAGAGGAGCAGCGTATTGGAACAACATCCCAATAAACTTGTTGAAAACCCTAAGAGAGTCAACAAGTTTAAAATCTGTCCATCATCTATTAAATAACCACATCTTGTAAATAAGTATATTCTGTAAATAAGTATAATTTAGTTTATTAGTAATAAGTTTATCCTTCTTTTATAATGTCTGTATTTTCCGCACGGCCCTTTGAAAATCACCTATGTGAAAAGTTGCCGTGTTTAAAGATCATTAATAATAATAATAATAATTTTAATTTTAAAAGTCCTAACATCTGGTCACTTTTGTTTTAAGCTTATTATTCTGCATGACACATTAGAGATTAATGCATAGTTTTGCTTTTGCTCTGTACTGCTTTAATAATGCATATATGGTGGGAAAATGTGACTTCAACCAGCAATTTTCAATCGGCTCGCATTTGGTCATTTTTGCCTTTATTACTGTGAGAAAATTAAATCTGTGCACCCAATATTGAGCGTGCATGAGCAATCTAAAGCTGGATTACCTTTTTTTATACACCCTATACAGTACATATGCTAAGGTTATATATGAAGATTAGTCTACGACATACGGTTAATGATTGGTTAGTTTTAAATTAATACACAACAGCTCCACCATCGTGTCTTCTACTGTCAGCATGACCATATAAATGACCATCATATTTTGAGGCACCATTCACAATGGCGGTGAACTTTGGGTTTCTGATTACTTTGTTACCTTTATCTTCTAGGAATTCAATTATTTTTTCTTTGGGTAATTTCTCAGAAAACTTTTCCCCTGAAAATAAACGCAGAATCAACGTGTACTCAGTCTTTAAAGATAAAGTACAGTATACATAAAAGCACGGTTCTTTAATCAGTCACCTAAAACTACGAGTTGGAGAAAGAAGAATTACAATTGCATATTATATTCAAATACATGCGATTGACCCCAACATTCCTCAGTTCCATCCAGGGACGCCGGAACGATAAAAAGGCAAAGGGGGGCAACCGCACACCAAAGGGCACCTCTATAGCTCCCGGTGAAGATGAGATATAAACCTACAATAATGTGTTGACTTGCCAATGAAAGCAAACGCACTTAATCAGGTCACATTCAAGATCACACCTCATGATTTTGTCCGAAAAGCATCACTGGAAATGTGATTTATAAGGTAGTACTTTACAACTCAAAGGGCACTTTTGCCCCCCTTGCCCCTCCTAGCAAAAGGCAAGAGGAGCAGCTGCCCCTCGTGCCCCCCCCCCCCCCCCTTCCC